ACATCCTGGAGCGTTCGATTTAGTGCTTCTACAGCTTTTTTATGCGACATTGTACCTTTGAAAGAAGAAGATTTTGGCTGGTGACTGGCACTGCACAGCTTCCTCCATGGTTTCATCCCAGTGAATATCGTTTTCTAAAAGATGCAGAGCTTCACATGCTTCTCTATAAGTTGCGTATTCTTGACCGTTGACAGTTTTAAGATCTTTATATCCTGTAGGACCCCGAACATGTTGCAGCAGAAATCGTAAACAGAAACATTCAAAATTAGTTACATGGACGGTATACAGACGACCAAGGGCATCTGATGACTTTACACCGGGCCAATTTGCAACAGGCGCGCCTTGAATACGGCGTTTCCACTCCTTTCTAGATGTTTTCCAGGTATAATAGCAGGGTACTTCAGAATATAACAACGTTTTTGCAAAAGGGTCGGTTTGACAAAGTTGAAAGAAGGCTGTTAGTGTAGTTTTTGGCAGTGATGCAATTCTTTGTTGGAAATTTCTTTCGGTGAAATATACACGCTCTCCATTTTCTAAGTGCACAGCAAGGTGAGTAACTGTTGGGTGCCTTTCGTCTAAAGGGAAGCCAAGGAGACGCCACGCTGCCTCGTTACTGCTGACATAACACCCTGCTTGAAAGGTCTGTACTTCACTAACGGGATTTGCCTCAACTTCATTCCTGAGATTAAATATTGCTTGGTAGCTTTCTTTATTTATGTACTTACAGATATACTTGATTGCGCAGACAGAGCTACATGCTTCTACATTAATGTGGGCATTAAACATTTTACATAGAATGGGCGAATACGGGACAATCCAGCTGTTATCCAAGGTTTCGAACGCTCAAGAGCGAGATTTGATTGTAACTTTCCTGCCACCATTTTCGGGATCTCTGTGTCTGTATAAAGGGTAGCCATTGTCATTGTGCACTGTTTCTTTTAATATCTGTTTAGGGAATATCTTTGTACATTTTCGTTCTTTCATACATGGTGATATGGAATTTCGTGCTCCACATGGACCGTGAATCATATTTCGGTCGATGGTATCATACAATTCTTTATCTTGCTCAGGATCTGGAATCTCGGCGCTTATTATGTCGTCTATTTGGCTGGGCCACAACTTCTCTTTAAGCCATGTTAGAATGTGGGCATGCGATAATCCTCTTTTTTTGCCATTCAATTGAATACATGAAGCACTGCACCTCTTCGAAAATTTTCCCTTTGTTAATTACATACATTAATTTTTGTACTTTTAATCTAAATACTCTAGAAACTAAATTGTGTCTCTCAGTACTTTTTTGGCCTGGCATTAGCTCCTCGGTTATTTCTTTCCATGTGGGATTGCAAGTAAAAGGAACAAAAAGATCAGGTCTTCCGTAAGTTCGTACATAGGCGTATGCGTCTTGTGTGTACTCATGTAGGTAGCGGGGACTGTTAACGAATGATGAGGGCAGAATTACCATTTTACCTAAATCTCTGGGGTTTACATTGGCATCGCTGGAAACTGCATCTTGTAAATGTATATAATTCTCAACGCGCAACTTTTTTGATTTAAAGATATATAACGGAGACGTCCACTTTCTACCTTCACATACATGTCTACCAAAAATTGATGAAATAATTGTCTACACCGGGCTAAGAGGGCTCGCTACATCATATGATAAGCATAAAAATCCATACATGATACTTTTTTGTTCGGAGTAGGCTCCTTTGTGACCGGGTTATTGAGTGGAAATTGAAAATGATAACCCTCTTGTCCTTTGCAATAAATCAATGGGTATTGCAGAGCGTCATGAAACTTGCGTGTATCGGCTACCCGTTGCAACGTATCATCACATGCTCGCAAGACAATGCTATTTCGTTTATCAAAGGTGCATTGTAACGCCTTTCATACTCTCCTCGAGGGTTCTGATCTGCGTGAATGACGGCTTTATAATCCTCTTCAGGTAGGTTTTCTCAAGCAGTTTTAAATTTTGAACACTGTGTCTCTCTCAACTCCCTGGATAAATTGTCAGCGGCGGTCTACCTCAATTTCTTCGTCACCCATAAAATATACTTTTAAAAATTTATGCTGTTCGTTTTCAACTGGAAAAAGTGAACCCATTCTATGATAAATTTGTCCTTGCACCGTAAATGTAAGCGAAAATCCCGGCATCATTATTTCCCGGTCAACTCCGAAGTACGTCATTTGAAAGCATGAGTTATATTTCCGGATCCTGTTTAAAAAGCGCCGTGACTCATTAGCATCATATAAAAAGAGAGTTTTCAAAGGTTCTTCTAGTTCCCCAAGTAACGGAAGAGATACTTTGCCATTGGAACAGCACATGCCTGCGGTCTCATCTTTCATTTTAAAGCGCTGCAAAATCGACACGCCTTGTCCATCAGTCTGATAGCAACTAACCTGTGATTTTTATAATCAATCAACGGATCATAATTGAATGCTGCGTCATTAAAAACCGACCAATTGTTTCTTTGAACATTTTGTCGACGTTCAGCTTGGAGCTGTGCATTTACATCTCTTCGCGCCTGTGTCTGTTCTGGTGTTTCAGATGTCCTTATAGTAGATTGATGTTCAGCTTGCTCAATGAGTCTGTGTTGAGTTTCATCAGGTGTTTCCGTGGCTCTTAAGGTGGTCTGACGTTCCGCTTGTTCGAAGAGCCTTTGCTGACTTTGAGCAGGTGTTTCAGTAGCTCTTAAAGTAGATTGACGCTCTGCCTGTTCAAGACGCCTTTGCTGACTTTGAGCAGGTGTTTCAGTAGCTCTTAAAGTAGCTTGATGCTCTGCCTGTTCAAGACACCTTCGCTGACTTTGAGAAGGTGTTTCAGAAGCTCTTAAAGTAGCTTGATGATCTGCCTGTTCAAGACGCCTTTCCTGACTTTGAGAAGGTGTTTTGGAAGCTCTTAAAGCAGCCTGACGCTCTGTCTGTTCAAGACGCCTTTGCTGACGTTGAGAAGGTGTCTCAGATGCTCTAAAAGCAGCCTGACGCTCTGCTTGTTCTTGCCTTCTCAGTTCAGAATCTTCTAAAGATTCTAGCGATCGAGCTAATCTTTTCGCTTATCTTTGAGAAGATACTCTTGAAAGGATGGACTTAAGTTTGCGAGGCATTATGAAGTAACAAAAAACCTATTTATAAAAAAACGTATAGGTACCGTATACACTATCTATACTATTAATATTCCTTTGAAATATTGTTAAACAACCTAAAACAACAAAAACCAATTCACGATTCTAAACAAACAAAATCCAAAATCAAAGCCAGAGTCTAAATATGTATAAAGGAATACCAACCAAATCAACAAAACCGATCCAAGAAAATACACAAATCCGAAAATGAAAGCCAATATAAATTAATTCAACCTTAACCAAATCACAAAGCAAATAACAAACAACCGAAATCGAAATCAGGTAGTCGAATAAGCTACGAAATAGGAACAATTTAAGCGTATAGGTACCGTACTATGTACTATAAGTTGACGCGCGGCTCAACGGCGGGAGTTAAGTACATGTCAGGAAACATTTCGTTACCGCGTATTTTAAAAACCTAGTAACATCTAGCGGGACCAATTTAAACTACATATACGTTAGTTAATAAGAAATCTGGAAAAATATTTTTATTATAATTTTGCACAATTTTTCTTATTGTAATACCGATTCATTCATAACCACATATAAGAACTGTATTCATTTCCGTTCAATAAATATTACTAAGGCTTATTAATAAGGCTTACTAAGAACTGTTTCTACCATAGTTAAGTAATAGTTATAATACAGTCACAGGTGGTGATAGTATTTCTGATCCATACTTATAATCACGCCTGTAACCCTTGCGGGGTAGGCAAAGCATCAACGGATTACTTAATATCGTCTGCGAGGTTATCGCCTATTCTGTGAATTACAATGCACCAAAACGTTTGTAGAAAATCAGGTAATGAATTTTATGTTTTTTATCGCTCTCTTCCCGGTCCTGCGTGGAAAAATACAGATCCATACATTTTTTATCTTAGTTTTGGTAAAAAGACTTAATAAATATTGTGACCTTTCTGTGTTTGTCCATCGTACCGTCGTCCGTCTTGTAGAATCACGGTTGCGCCACCTAGCTGAATTTAATTTTGCAACCTATTCGATTTTCCCACGGGAATGATATGTTTTTCCGCTGAAAAAAGTATTATTCTATATATTTATATTTTCCCACGGGAATGAGATGTTTTTCCGTGGAAAAAAGTAACCTATGTCACTCTACAGCCACCGAACTATCCCCATACAAAAAATCATGCCATGCCGAAGCTCTGTTGCGACGTGAAAGAATGACAAACAAACAAACACTCTTTCGCATTTAAAATATTAGTATGGATGTCTTCCCACATGATAAATGAAGTGATTAGAAAATAGATTGAGTTGAACAATTGATATTTTTAAAAGTTATCGTGTTTACCCCTCCATGCTTACTTGATAAATCTACACCATAAGCTACCTAAACAACTTTTTTTAATAAAGATATTAATAGTTACTTTGCAACTTATGATGTGTCTTACCTAGTTTGAAGAGCACCTCCCGCCCTCCCTCATCTGCTTGCACAAACCCCGTCACCACTAATCCCAGCACTAAGCAGCGTAAAGTATGTTATTCTTTTTTTATAAGAAACAGGAAATATGTGTTAATGTATCTATTAGCACATACAACTGAGATATAAGTGTATCCCATTTTAGACTATTTTAACCCTTACAAGCTTATAACTATTCTAAGATAGTTAAAATGTTTTTTTTTTATTTATGTCTATTTATTTTGGTCTAGTTTAATTAAAAACGTATAAATAAAACCATATTTATGTATATTTCCATGTTTTTGAGAAGGGGACATAAGTGTCCCAATATGCGTTAAGGTACATTTTTCTTATGTACGGACAAAAAATACTAGAATGATTTTATAGTGAAATAAACACAAACTATGATATAAAGTACAAATTATTTATTGTAGAAATTATTTATAAAACAAAAATAAAACTTAGTGGTACTCTACAAAGCAGTTGCGGTCTGTAGTAAAACATAAATGAACGTTGCATGTAGAGCAAGTGTTATTTGTGCGATTCTCTATACGGCTTTTAGCACACTGTACGCATCTTTTTCTTTTACTTACTTTTACCATTACGTGTGAAGGTGTACCGCGCTTCTGTGTATAAGAAATTTGCTTTTTCGTCATAACAACTGACGACAAAGATCCTTGTCGAGACGAAAAGCTACCAATAAGTGACCGAGCTACTACTTGGCGAAATTCTAGGCTCGTAAGCAGAGTTCCTTCAATACGTTTTGCTTCATGCAGCTTGCAATAAATCACATATGAATTATTCATCGCAATATCTAGTAAGTCAAAAAACAACCTTAGGTAGTATTTTATTTTTGCTTTTCGATCCACTTCATAGTATACTTTTTTCTGGTCCATCAGATCGACCCCTCTCATATGTTTATTATATTTTATTATAGCTTCAGGGCAAATTACATTCACCTTTTCAGCACTACCAGAAACACGCTTCTTGACTATCGTCGTAGGTGTGGGTGATAAAAAATTTGTTAGCAGAAACACGGCTTTGTTATCCATCCATTTTATGAAAGATATTCCATTGCTGCTGGCTGCAAAAATATCTCCACGATTCATATTTTTATCTGTTGGCATATTTTTCGGTACATTTTTCCTGTTTGAGCGCACTGTTCCACACGCTTTTATATTCTTACTCATCAGTGTATACTGAAGATTAGGAGAATTGAAAAAATTATCAAAGTATATTTCACACCCTATGCCCTGTAAGCTTTCAGACAATTGCAAGACAACCGATTCACCCAATCCCGTTTCAGTGCCACCTCTTTTCTTCCCAGTATACAAATCAAACTGAAATAAATAGCCAGTGGAAGAGCATGCCCTACACCACATCTTGAACCCCCATTTTATTGGTTTATTTTTTACGTATTGCCTCATTATGTTATGCCCCTTGAACTTGATCATGTGTTCGTCTATTGCCTGGGTTTTGGTGTTAGCCATAGCTCTTTGAAAAGCATGGTTGAAATGATCTATAACAGGTCGTATTTTGAATGCTCTATCATAAGACGGATCGGTTCTATTAGGTTCATTAGAATTGTCACTAAAATGCAAGTTCGTACGTATTTCTTCAAAGCGGTTTATAGGCATCACATTAGCAATGTAAGGAACTCCCATGTCAGGATCTGTAGACCAATAGCTCCTGAATGTAGGTAAACAATGATACCCCATCACAAAGTTCATGCCGAAGAAAGCTTTGGCTTCTTCATCAGTCAACGTATAAGATCTTCCATTTTGATGAGCGTAGCGTATGGATTCACGAACAATAATCTCCTCTACTAATTTTTCGAAGCCTGTAGCCGCATTGAAAATTTTTACAGGATTCAGTTCCGTATCAGAAGTTTGATCAAAAATGTGCACCTCGCCGAAGTTATACCCTTCCATTTCACAAAAATTATGCGGAGAATATGAATTTTTTCTCCAGTTGAAATAGGGGACATTAGAACTAGGCTGTTGATTTTCAATAATATTCTCTTCTGGAGATGCTGACCCCGGTTCAATTTCAACAGTTGAAATACCCGTGTCTATATCTTGCTCTAAAAAAGTTTGATCCTCTTCATCAAGGACTAAACCCTCCTCATCATCGCTGTAGTCAGCCATCAAGAATTCTATAATTACGTCTTGCCGCAATGAAAACTCTCTACGTCGATTGGAAGACATGGTCTGTAACGAAATAGAATATACAATATAAGAAGAATAAACAAAACAAAACAGTATAGCAAAAAATATTACCCGCTTGAAGCCAGCCTCCTTTGATGTATATATACACCCGCGTCCCTTTACATTTTTTACATAGTACGCCTTATTTTTACAAAGAAAACCAAAAATATGTACCAAAACAGTAATTATACTTACCAGTGAATATAATTCTGAGAAGAAACTGTGGTAAAAAGTAGATATTTAATAAAAAATATTTTTTAATGTTCACGTCCTTCTGACAAATATGTCACTTTTCGCGGCATTAACTTTTTTGACAGATGATGTCTTTACTTAGTGTTGCCAGCGCGCAAACGCGAAAAGGTGCTATAAAATTTAATAATACAAATTTAAAAAAGGTTTAACTCGGCCAGTATTACTGTAAATCGTAAAAATTAAGTGGGGACAAATGTGTCCCATATGCGTGAAAGAGTTAAATTAAGACATTAAAGTAAAAGTAAAGTTACAGCCTATATACGTCCCACTGCTGGGCTCAAGCCTCCTCTCATTTCTGAGAGGGTTTAGGGCAAGGAAGTGTCCGCCGCGCTGCCCAAATGCGTGTTGACGAACTTCACATGTCTTCGAAATATTTTTTTTCTTATTCCTCAGACATGCAGGTTTCCTCACGATGTTTTCCTTCACCGCCGAGCACGTGGTAAAATAAGACATTATTTGAATTAATTGTACATTTTATTGAAATAAAAATTATTATTATCTTCGGTGTATTCATAGAGTATTCTCACCTGGTTGGGCTGAATAAATATATAAAAGGAAGTGATAAATATACATAATAATATAAATAAATAAAACAAAAATAAATAAAAGCCCAACCAGATGGAAGCCCTCGCCAAGGGAGACAAACGGCCGAGGGTAAGCGGGAAAGAGAAAAAAACCGGCAAACGATGCAGGTGGTATCGCGGAGCACCGCCTTCTGCATTTGAGCCAGGAGCGGTCCGTCACGGAGTTCCAGCTGCCTCAGATAACCCGAAATGCTGACTGGGATTAGCCCGTTTGTGGGAACGACTACAGAAATAATTTCGTTCGGCAGACACCCCACACGTCGGTCACCTCGTGAGACAGGTCCAGATATTTTGTTTGCTTAGCTGTTTCGGCTTTCACGAGGTACTCGTCATACGGAATAGTAATGTCGACCAAACATATCCTTGATTGTGCATGGTCCATCATCACAATATCAGGCTTATTCGCAAGAATAGTCCTATCTGTGATGATGGCTACTTCCGTTTTTTATGGGATAGCATGACAAACGAGCGCACAGTCTGTCTAATGGTAAGTGGTTGCTGAAGCCCATAGACATCTACATCTATCCTCGATTATGACTCAAAATGCATATGCGTTGTCACTCTTGAGGACTAAGATGGAAAGCTTCGTTTCCAGTAAAAAGTGTCTCCGGTTCTTTACACTCACCATACGAAATACCCAAAAATATCCTTGATTGTACCCGGTCCATCATCACAATATCAATCTTATTCGCAAGAATATTCCTGTTTGTGATGATGGCTTCTTCCATTTTTTTTATAGGATAGAGTGACAAACGAGCACACAGTCCACCTGATGGTAGGTGGTTGCTGTGGCCCATAGACATCTACATTTATCCTCCATTACGAATCAAAATGCATATGCGTTGTCACCCGTGAGGACTAAGATGGAATGCCTCATTTCCAGTAAAAAGTGTCTCCGGTTCTTTACACTCACCATACAAAACACAGCAGCGTTAAGCTACTATTTTACATTTTGATATATATCATGTTATAAATAATTTTTTGTGTTCTAAGGCATATCTTATGAAAGATATGTTCTAATTGAATAAAACTATTATTTACGGATTTTATCGCGTTTAATTACTTTAATTTATTTTTATTATTATCCCGACGTTTCGGGTGCTTTACAGCGCCCATGGTCACGGGGGGGACTGAGATGTTTGACGTCCCAATGTCATAGTTAGTCCGGCTACTTTCAGTTTTCTAATATTAATTTTTGGTCCGATTTACGCAAAACGAGCTTATAGTATCATGAAGTCTTGCAGTGGTAAGCTTTGTTTGACCTATGTCAATACATAGGTCAAACAAAGAGATCTATAAAAACCCGCGTGAAGGAACATATAGCTGATGTGAAGCACCGACGCTCCGGGAAGTCTGCAGTCTGCGAACATGTTCAAGATCGTCCCCACCATTACATTAGATTTGATAAACCACAAATTCTCACAAGAGAACACCGATTCCTACCAAGGATGATACGCGAGGCTATTGAAATTAAAAATCATCCAAATTTCAATAGAGAAGATGGTTGGGTGCTACCATCTGCTTGGGATCCTATAATTAACAAAATTAAACCCAAACCCAAGCATACCACTGCAAGACTTCATGATACTATAAGCTCGTTTTGCGTAAATCGGACCAAAAATTAATATTAGAAAACTGAAAGTAGCCGGACTAACTATGACATTGGGACGTCAAACATCTCAGTCCCCCCCCGTGACCATGGGCGCTGTAAAGCACCCGAAACGTCGGGATAATAATAAAAATAAATTAAAGTAATTAAACGCGATAAAATCCGTAAATAATAGTTTTATTCAATGTGTAGTGTTCGCGTAAATTTAAGAAATCATTATATGTTCTAATGTAATTTAATATAAAAATCTTTTGAGGAATGATTTCATTTTAACATTCACTTTATAAGTAGAATATTATGCTTTTTGTTGAAAAGAAAGATGTATAAGAATTTTGTAATATCCCCCCTCAGTATAGAGTTTTCAATTACAAACGCATGCTTTGGAACCAGTAAGAAGTGTGACAAACTGTATAAATCTTTGCTTAGAAACGTTATCTTGTTTCTTTGATTAGAATACAGGTTATTTTGCAATATACATCCGAATTTGCAGAAAAGTTCAGTATAAGTTGGTAATATAGGCGAATGGTGAAGAAAAATTGTTTAAAAAATCTGAAATAATTTGTCTTTTTTACCTTTAAACTCGGAATGCGTGGTAATTCATTATTTTAACTCATTATAATTCATAGATATCTAACACCTACTATTTTACTACGCACGCACACATTCGAGGGATCGCTCGGTTGTCTAAACTGTTGTGAATACACACAGAGAAGCACGCATACGGGTATTTGGTGCCCATAAATGACGTTCAATTTGTGATAATTTCAAATAAATGTAGAAGCCTTATTTACACATATTTTCAAAACCTGCAATAACGGTATATCATTATTTACATATTTGAATTTAAAACCTGGATACACTTTGAAAAATAACCCTGTATAGCAGAATATAAAGTGCATTTTTTAAAATAGTATCCACTGTTGAAAAAATATTTTTTTACACTTAAAATCAAATGCCTTAAGAATTATAATGAAAGTTCAGCTTCATTAACATTATCACTGCTGCCCATCACAAGTTCATTCACTGCTGAACAAGGAATGTCATAAAGTAAACCAAGAAGAAGAAAACAGCATATATGTTACAGCTTCAAAGAAATACACAACATTCTGTGGAAATATTTAGGATGCTATCACACTGGCATATCATAATGCTTCTTACAGCAAGTGTCACAAGGTAATCTTTTTTAAGCTGTTATACTTTTTGATATTAATACAAGCACAAAATCGTAGTGACATTCTGCTTTATATATAAATTTAACATAACCTCGTTTATAAGATTACTTCAAATTCAATTGTATTGGTTACATTTTCAATATACACACTTCCTTACATTTTACTAATTATTACTTGCAATTTACTTTACTGTTAACTGGTGACACTTACCCTCAGACTTACATTTTTATAACAGCTACCTATAAAACTGCCTGTGTACCGTTAAAACATTTACTAGGGCACATTTTTATAAAATACTTTTGCAAAACCATAAACAAACATCACCGGAAGTCATATGAATTCAGTGTTATTAGTTCAATTTGCTTCTATCTTCTATGATATATGAAATAATATTATTATTAGACAAAAATCATAAAATGTTATGGAGTAATATAAAAAATATTACACATATTAAGGAAAATAAAACTACTAATATTGGATTATTAGACATAGAACCAAGCCCTAATCAATCAGTTAATGCAGTCAATAATTTTTATATCGCATTTTCTATCGCAGACACAGTATGGTTTAGAAGAAGAAAAAACACACAAAACGTTGTCATACATATAACTACATATGTAGTGGGGCATCTAGACCAAAATAAAAATTTTCTTATGGTGTTTTTAGACTTTAAAAAGGCATTTGACACCGTCTCTGTTCCCATACTTTGGAAGTTGAAAAGGATTCGTATAAGAGAAGCTCAACTAGATTTATTGAGAGATTACTTAAGGAGCAGAACGCAAAGTACTAGAATAGGCAAAATATTAGTAACGATAGAATATTAGTAACGATCTCCCAATAAGCTTTGGGGTGCCGCAAGGCAGTGTTCTAGGCCCTACCTTGTTTCTCACTCACATGAATGATCTCGGTAAATTGAAACTTGAAAATGGCAAAATTTATTCATATGCGGACGACACCACTATCGTTTTCACAGGTAAATCATGGGATGAAGTGTATGAAAAAGCAGAACTTGGTCTGTCAAAAATTACGAATTGGCTCAAAATGAACTTGTTTACCCTTAACGCGCGTGGGGGATGACCAAACACTCACATGGTATTCACATATAGAAGAAACTAATAACAGGTTACGAAAACTTACTTGGATCTTAAAAAGCCTTACTGATGTCGCAACTCGTAAACTTTTAAATCAAATATATGATTCACTAGCCCAATCGATTTTGACACATTTTATACCAGCTTGGTGTGGTGCTCCGAAAACGAAACTCTTACAACTAGAACATGGTCAACGTTCATTAATAAAGGTAATTTACAACAAACCATATAGATTTCTTACAGAAGAACTTTACTCAGTTAGTGGTTTATTGAGTGTTAGAAACATTTAAAA